ATGGTCAGATGAGACCACATTTAAGAAAGATGGGTACATGAACCTGCATAACTTACACGAGTGGTACGTAGCAAACCCACATTTGATGAGAGAAGATAAATCTCAATATGGTAATATCGCTTCAAGGTAAACCATTGGACAGGAATTTTAAATGGTAAAATAATCGGTCCGTTTGAGTTCCCAGAGACTTTGACTGCTGAGGTTTATTTAGGTTTTTTGCAAAATCATTTAGAAAATTTATTGGAGGACGTGCCACTGAGTATTTACAGGGACATGTGGTTTCAGCATGATGGCTGCCCAGCGCACTATGCACTCTCAGTGAGAGAGTATCTCGATCAAAACTTTCCAGGCAGATGGATAGGGCGGTCTGATACAATACAGTGGCCAGCCCGGTCACCAGATTTGTATCCGTTAGATTTTTTTACCGGGGAACTGTAAAAGAAAAAGTGTGTTTCAAGCCGATTCAAAATGTAGCTGAGCTACGGCAAAGCCTATTGGAAGCAGCTGAGTTTGTTAATAACCGTGGATTCGCTTGTTTAATAACCCGATCTTTTTTAAGAAGATGTCGTGCGTGTATTGCGGCTGAAGGAAAACAGTTTGAGCATTTGCTGTAAAGGTAAATCATCATCAGCAGCATTTTGACGCCCACTGTTCTGCAAACAGTTATCCTTAAGGGTCCTTGTGCGTTTTCATAATCGCTGTTTAATTAGGAAATTTTGAAAAAATTTCATCAGTTTTTCTTCAAATAAAAATTGTGCATAAGTTAACGAGTAATCTTCTAAGTGTTATACTATTTTGGAATCCTTATTAAATGCGCCAACTTTTAAGGTTACTTGCCAAAGGCTCGTAGTACATTTTTTTCCAGTACATCCAGTTAAAGTTGAACAAAGTTTTACTTTGGAATACTTGGTTGGGAAATAAGTGGCAATTTTTCCTGAACGAGAAAAGTTGGCAGTAAGGTTGAGACACCAGTTTGAAGATGCATTATTCATTATTACATTGTAAAAATAAAATCCAAAAAAGTTAATATTTGTAGTAACAGGAGTTGACAGACTGCCGTAGGGTGTGAAATTTCTATATTTTTTTCAAAGACCTATAGCTGTTATGACTTTGCCTATCACCCGGTTTCGGCTTGACGTCGACTTCTGGGACACCCTGTATTCTGAAGGGCAAAGGTTTGGAGACAATGGAATTGAAAAACTGATTTCAGTAAAATAAATTCATTTTTGAAAATACTGTGACTTGATGCTAATCTTAAAGTAGTGTACCGCGCTTCGTACGTATTTTGACCCGTGGCAAGGACACAACGTTTACAATAAAACTATACCACACCAACTGGAATCCAGTAATCATCTGCACTTCAACAAACACCGAAAATGAAAGCAAACATACCTACTAACCCCGAGTCCTTAATTTCATGCCTTATTTAAATTTACATCTGTGTCCCGACAGTTGGCTTCCTCTAACCCTTCATCGAAAACGGATGCAGAAAAACACACTTTCACTCTCGCTGCCTACCTAAAAAAGGGTTGCATCTTGCCTTTTACTTTTCTTATTCTTCTTACTCCGTAATAATAAAGATAATGAATAGTTTTGGGTAATAAAATAGAGAGTACTGATGGAAAATGCTTGTATCACGCCTTAAGAGCTATTAAGCCTCCCACTATTGAGAGCTTGGGTAGCTATTATGTTGATATACGAGATGCATCGCTGAGTGTTCCATGGAGACAGTGGCGGGTCAAAGTTTAATTGAAAGTATGTTTTATATTAGTATTCATTTAAATTACTATAAATCATTAATCAACGTATTCTTTGACATGTTTTTGCAATGAACGTGTGTTACGTTATTTGAACGAGAGAAAGGATGTGCCGACTGGAGTTGATTACACAGTCCGACAAGACAAACCAAAGTTCACCTTCATGAAGTTTTTGCTGCGCTAAATCCGAATACGTGGTCCAAATCTCTCAATTGGCTATAGCTCGCGAGTTTCCTAACCTACATGTGCAAAAATAGCGATGTTTGCTTATATACGTAATCACCTAGAATGGGGATTTTTTTTCAAAAGACCATGAACACCACCTCAAAGTAGAAGCATTGCTGTCCCAACTGCTGCTGAGTTTGCTGAGGCGTTGAAATTTTAATTTTTTTTATCTAAGTTGTTGCAGCTCTTATCAGAACGTTAATCTCTGCCTTGATAGGATAAGGTGAATTCTGGGTTTATGGTTTGTGTAAGTTTTAAATTTTTTATGGTTTTAGTTTTGGGGATTTATAGGTTTCTTACTTGGTAGGTCTTATTTCACCATCCTACGTAATCTAACATATATGAAAAGATCACTATTTTTGCAATTTAAGGTTAGGTTATCCTAAAAGCTAGAGCCAACAGATCTGGCACAGGCGGTATCAATGACGTTCATTTCATGCACTAATAATGTCTGAATGCCCTAGGCATTAAAAAGACGTTTTAGAATAACTTTAGTCCGACGTTTAACGAACATCCCGTCACAAATAAAACAAACATCTGTAAGACGTCTAGATGTATTCTACAAGTAATGAAATTTTTAGAATTTAGTTTTTTGAAAGTTAGAAAGATTAGTGAGTATATGAAAAACCCAAATGCTGAACATCCCACTAAACATTAAAGTAAAACCTAAAGTTTTCTTGTTTACAACAACGGTTCATCATGTTAAACGAGTCAAAAGGACAAGTCGCTGACGTTTACAGATATCTGTATTTTTTAAACGCCATTGTCTTTTCTGGAATCATTTAAACATTTATCACGGTCATTGTATTTTAATTCATTAATTGGCCACCAGATGATGATGGGTCGTTTAAAGAGAGCACATCCCTACATTTGCATCTGCAACATCTCTAGCTGTCATCTGTCAAAAGTTTCTTGGCCGCTTTTCAGTGGCGGATCCAATAGGTGTCCCCCGAAATACCAGAGTTAAAAAAAATTGGAACTTTTTCTTTATAGTTTTCAGACGACCTCCACCGCTCTTCGATCCCTCCCCCTTCCACACGCCCTACCCCCCCCCCCCCGTCTCGACACAGGTATCTTTCTGGAAGAAAACTCTGAGCCCCCACCCTTCAAAAAATTTTAAATTCATCAGATGGACCCTCAAAATATTTTCTTGATCCTCCCCTGCCGCCTTCTGTTTTCCACTTGTTTTCCTTGAGGAAAAGCACTGTAAGTCTCGATAGTGTCCCCCATATGCGTTTGTTAACATTAGATGTTAGGAAAAATTGTGGTCTGCTTTTAAAGGTAAGGGTACGTCTTGAATATAAACTAATTTTAACAAAATGCTGTCGGCGCGCTTCAAAAATATAGAATCTGCACAACTATAACTCTACCTACGGCAAGCAAGCTGTTTGTTCAATTTGTTTTTTTTTAGTCTGTTTGATTAATTTGTACTAACATAATTATACTTAGTGTAACCTCAAGTGATACCGTATACTTGCCTGGTGCAACAACAGGCTTATACTTATTCCTTAATTATTTAAGACGATTTGTTTTGAATGAGACATCATACTAAAAATAGTATAGAAGAAACGTAACAAAAAACTTTGGATTACCAAACGAAAAGAGCTTGTGGAACAGCCCAGCTATTTATTTCAGTATCTGCCTAGAGAGCTGGTAAATACCAAAGCCACCACGGGGTGAATTTAGTATCATTTGGAACATGGCTAAGGCGAGCTTTGGATCGCCGCACAGCGACACAAAAAAATGTGACAGTTCCAGAAATTAACTTGTTTTTAAAAGACAATTTTTATAATACTCTTTAATGATTCGCATGTTTTTTATTGTCTTTTTAATGCTGCACTAAAGACCTTAGGAACGTATTATCAAGTCTTTAGAACGCTCAGCTTTCCTAACGTCGTCATTACAACGCCTTTAAGATGTCGCACAGCATTCGCAAGATATCCTTACCACGTCTTCAGTATCTCAAAATGACGATTTTAAAACGTCTTTAAGAAAATATACTCTGGTTTCTGGGTCAAAATCCTGTCGGCCTATATTACGCATAAAATAGGCATATACCTTTAAAAGAAAGTTTACAGAAATAGATCACTTCCAAAAAATTGGGAGGTTTTTGGATTACCGATTTAATTTTGGGTAGCTTCTGAATCAATGTATAGCAATGACGGTAAGTGAAAACTCTCCATGAATACCGTTTTTAAGTATAATACTTTTATATTTTCCTAACGTACGTCAATGACAACAAGGGTCTTCACACTTGATACGTAGATAAAATAATAATATGCAGGTGACTGACCGCCAGATACACGTATTTTTGTTCTTGCCTCTATAATAATGTAAATTTTATCAAATCATTATGAACAATTCTACAACAAAAAGGATGAGTGGGCACGGAATAATTACTATAGTAGGCCTCATTAAAATGTGTGTTTTTGTGTGAATAACGTAATTTTACAATGTAAAAGCGATATAATTAGCATTATAAAAAGATTTATAAATATTAATTTTGTTTCAGTTGAAAGCGGAACAATAGCTGATGTACAATGCATCCACATGTCATATTTCCTCTGGTAGGGTTTGAATATTTATCAATCACAGTACAAAGGATTTTCTATATTTATTGTATTTGAAGCAAATAGCATGTTTCGATATCTATAAATAACTCTTTTACAAAGTACCCCTTTGAATAACCTATTCGAATTTAACAAGTACCTATCTAAAGATAAACAATGAAAACTCTAAATTCAAAACAACACTTTTTTAGATTTTGGGGAAACTGGACAAAAGTAAAAAAAGTTCTAAATAACCTAGCGAAATTTCAAGCTGCTATTTTTTTGGGTGGTTCTGCTAAAGTTGATGTAAACTAAAATTTTGGAATCTACATTTATATTTTTTTTATTAAGACCTTGTATCTGTATCTAGGTGATAAACTGTTCTGAAAAGTCTATTTCTTACAAATTCCATTTGGTTAACATTTGGTAAATAAAACATGGAGAACTATGTAAATTTATTGAGACACTCGCTCATAGTAAAACAGCATTATTGCATCAACATGACGTCTGCAGCAGATGATGACGTGTTCCTTCTGGAAGACCACTGACTGTTTTATGTACTAAGAGTTCCCCCTGAAAAAGAAATAAATTTCAGTTCAACTATAGCAGTGCCAAATAGTTGTTTTACAAATAGAAGACAGTTAGACAATACAAATAAATTAGAGAGGTGTAATTAAAAACATGGCGTCCACAAAAACCGCCGATCGCGCAACATCTGACACTGCGGTGTTGCCAGAGAGATACTGTTTGGATGGGTTACTCATAGTGAAAGCATTTTTTATTCAAATTTACTTTTATCATGTTTGCAGCCTAAGAAATATATATTTTTCATTCAATAAATATATCAAACGATCTGGTCGAGACATGTTACGCTCTGATTTTCAGAAAATAAATGTTTATTTTATTATACATACAAACTTTATAAACGCGTATTCAGGGTAGTGTCATTATTTATAGTTCTTCCCAAAATGTGTGTTCCTGTACATGTAAACAGAAGTTATTCTCAATCCTGTAAGTTATAACATAGCCATTAAACTTTTATAACCCTACGCGGGGTAGTTCAGTAACAAAAGAGGAATGTCAGCTTGAAATTCAATTTCTTTCTAATCAAATATCGTTAACACGATGAGTATTTATTTCGCATGACTTTTTGACGTAACCACCAAAAGCCGTGAAAAGAGCTGAAATCCACTTAGCTCAATATAAGTGTAGTATTTTCTAAATGTCTGTTTGGCAACACCGTATCGGTACCGTGTCATTGGCAGAACGTTGAGCCATCAGTTAGCAAATTGACAAATCAAGGGCGGTCTGCTCACAGATCGCTGCTTTTTGTAAACTAATAGTCCAAGAGCCGAGGCATAGTTTTGGCTACATATGTACTGATTAGATATATTAAAAATTAGTAAAACCCTACATATACTTAGTGACAAAAAAAGGTAAACACCTACGCATGTTTATTAGAATTCAGGTCTATCGATAAAGAAGGCCGAGGACAGCGAGCGAGGGGTTCTGGACGTCCCAGAGCGACCACGGAGCGACAAGACCGCCGGTTAAGACTTCTGGCTCTGCCAGACAGATTCAGTAGTACTCGAGTCATCGCTAATCAGTGGTTTGAAGAGCATGGGAGGATGGCTGGTATGCGTACGGTATATCGCCGAATACGACTGTTTGGCTTTATTTCTTATTGCCCACATTGGGTGCTACCACTCACAGCTGAACGTTGGCCTAACCGTTTGCTCTGTTGTAGAGAAAGAATTCTAAGGGACCGGGAATGGAATCAGGTGGTCTTTAGTGATGAATCCAGCTTCTGTCTGGGGATGCACGATGATCGGGCAAGAGTGAGAAGGCGACGTGGTGAAAGACGTGACCCACAATTTGTCAGAGAGCTTCACGTTCACCACACCGTGGGAGTTATGGTATGGAATGCTATTGCTTATGACAGCCCGACCCTATATTCAGGGAGTAGTGGAGCCTCTTATTCTATACCTAAACACCATCCAAAACCCGATTTTTCAGCAAGACAATGCCAGACCGCATGTTGCCAGAGCATCGTTAGTCTTCATGGATTAACATCGCATCAACCCTTTACCTTGGCCACCATGATCGGCTGATCTATCTTCAATTGAACATGTCTGGGACATGATAGGTCGCAGGCTCTTGAATTTGCAACACCCTCCACACACTTTAGTAGCTCTTACTGACGAAGTTGTAGTAGCCTGGAATGAGATACCACAACAGGACGACGCCCAGGCGTGTCAATGAGTGTATAAGAAATCGTGGATCCTCAACACATTATTGAACCAGCTTCTGCAGTCAGTTGACGAATCAAGCTGAAAATTTAACCATTTTACTAGTAAGGGACACTGAACATATATGCCAAAAAATATTAACATCGGATAAACATACGTAGGTGTTTACCTTTTTTTGTCATTATTTTGATGCTAAACAGTAAACTTGCCGAGTCTATTTTCTTACCATATCATATCAGTTCACGATGTTGCACTTAAAATATTTGCGGTGCCCCCCCTGTCCTAACTAGCATTTTGTGAAAAAATATTACCATATAAGAAAAAGGTACCTATACCTATATTTAAAATTTTAGTAATTATATCCATGAATGATGTCCTCAAAACTTGAATTGCCTCAAAAACTCAAATTAGGGGCTAATTGACCAAGATGTAAAATTGGATGGTTCAAAACTACAAAAACACACCTGTTAAAGGTACTTGAAGAGTTTTTGACTTCTGAGGCAAATCTTGAGATTATAATATTATGTTATGTCCTTTTTGGGCATATTGGTAAGTAAAAATTATCATATTCATGACCAATAAAAATTTCGTGTAAGTTTGCAACATATATTGGTAAAAAACAAGTCAATATGTCTAATAAATAACCCTCTTCTACACCTTGAGGTTGCAAGGATGCTTGTACTAAATATTCGACTACATTTCGAAAATCTAGTTTAATAATCACTACCACAAATGGAAGCCATTTGTTTGCACCTGGCTATAGACAACTAGTACACCAACTAATCTGATTTTCAACCAATAGGTTACCAGCTGTTATGTATGAGCAAGAGAAAGAGAGAGAGTAATGTATTATGTTTCATTTATAGTTTAGTTAAATTTAGGTCAGACACATGTGATTTTAAATGGCAAAATGACTACGGTTTTACCACAAGATGATCTAAATAATTGTTTATCTCCTACGACCTATTAAAAATAAATACCTCATCGAGCTGATATTGGCTTCTAAATTTACTTTGGTTATTCCCCACTTTGGGAAAAAGGCAAACGCTTGCAATTAAATATAACCTTTTGTAAATTATTTTTCAAGCTATTTTGTGACCGAATTACCGTACATATAACTCGGAACGCTTATTCTAGTACATACACTATAAGAAAAAATCCAACGCCAACGGAACCGAGCTGCGGATTTTAAAGACATTCTGTCTATACTCTTTGGCTATACATCGTAACAGTTCCACGAAGTTTACTATGTGTCTGTTGTTATTACCAAAATGATAAATTTTACATAACCCGAAACAAATCACGCTACTCCCTTACGGCGAGTAACTAGTTTGCTTTAAATTATTAAACTTTCAGTCTTCGTACGTGTACATACACTCTCATGCTCATGTGGACGAGTTAGGTAATACAAAGGGCGCTTCCGTGCTGGCTACCGCATTAGCTTTATGGAAGTTGAATTATAAGGTGAATTTCGTCCGCAAAGCAGTCATGGTTATCGCGATTATGCTGCCTTAAACGATTACGACAAGGAAGTGTCACCGGTATGGGCATGCACCTTCTTGCTGGTCATAAGTGGATTACGATGCTTCCTTATCTATACAGGGTGTACAGTTAGTAGTGGATCTACGGAAGTCAGCTTCAAAACCTATCGAATCAACCCCTATATGTGTGATCCGAAATTTTATAGTTCAGGAGATATTTACAATTATGTAAACTTGCAAAAAAAAAACGGGATAATGAACTTTCAATCGCAATTATAACTAAACCATTAGGTTTGTGACTGTGATTCTTTTTCTGAGATGAGCTAAATGGTTAGTTTTAGCAACGGTTATGTCACTTTTTAACAGAGCTTATTAGAAATCAACTCAAAAATTGATTTTTTTGTGATTCTCTTCCAAGCTTCATCTTTGGAGGCGGTAAAAAATTGCGGTTATATTTCATTATTCATTTTATTGTGACAACTATTTCAATCCATGTAGAATAAACACTGAAAATTTCAGCTTGCTGCCATGAGTGTATCATCTCACATTCGTTGTTGTGATGCGATAAACGTAAGAAACGCAATAGAATCCTTACCACCTACAAGTACAGAACCTATTGTGTTTAGTTGCTCTCTATGGCGATTTACCGACGAATGTGGAAGATAATTTAATTTAACTAACTTTTAAAGGACATGTTTGAAATGGCCCCTATTGTTTTCTATACACAAGCGTCACCTTCTAATAAAATTAGTCTTTGAAATGAATTTCCGTTTTCCATATATTTTATTTTTGCTTCATCTATTTTCTGGCGCAGTTGTAGATCATCCCCTTATAAAGCCTCCGTATAAAAAAATCTAGAGGATTTAAATCGGGTGACATTTGAGGCCATCGTATGTGTTCACCCCTACCTATCCAACGCCCAGGAAAGGCACTGCCTAAGTAATGCCGTACATGCCGTGCAAAAAGGCATGGAGCACCATCGCATTGAAAATACTAATCTTTATTTTTGCTTCATCAATTTTCTGGTGCAGTTGGTTGATATTTGTATATTCCGATGAATAGATCATCCCCTTATAAAGCCCCCATATAAAAAAAATTAGAGGATTTAAATCGGGTGACCTTTGAGGCCATCGTATGTGTTCACCTCTACCTATCCAACGCCCAGGAAAGGCACTGCCTAAGTAATGCCGTACATGCCGTGCAAAACGGTCGAGCACCATCGCATTGAAAATACATGCGGTTTCGAACGTCCAAAGGTACAACATCCTCTAGCAGCTTATGCAAACTGCTTTGTAGAAAAGCAAGGTATAACTGACCATTCAACCTGGCGGGCAATTCATATGGTCCAATTAATCGTTTGCTGAGTACTCCAGCCCATAAATTAACGCCGAACTGACGTTGAAAGCTGTGTCGGCGAATAGCGTGTGGATTTTCCACGCTCCATTAATGGAAATTTCGGTTAAAGTGGGATTTATCTGTCCATAAGATGCTGTCGAAAACAGTTTCATCCTCTTTGCACCTTTTCAACATATTCTCAGAAAATTCAACCCGTTGTGCATAGTCGCTTTTAAGCAATTCTTGTACTTTTTGTACATTGTAAGAGAGCATGTTCTCCGAGCGTAGTATTGTGTGCACTGAAGTATGGGATATGTTTCTGCTTCGGGCAATGGCTCTGGTGCTTATAGAGGGATCTCTCTCGGTTGCTTCTATTATATCTTCTATTTCTTCTGGGCGTATCCTCGGCGCTCCTAGCTGTCGATGAGTGCATTTTTGCATAGTCTTGCGGATAATATGATATGATTCTACTCAGATGCCAAACGTTAGATACAAATTCCGCGCTGGA